GGGGTGGTGCCGCTCCGCTCCGCTCCCGCCCGGAGCAGCTGCCCCCGCTGCCGGTTCCGCCGCCGCCCGGGACCCCTCAGCCCTGCCCGGCAATCGGCCAGAGAACCACGGAACGTGCCGAGTGGGAAGGGGCCCATCAGGGTCACGAGTCCAACTCCTGCCCCTGTGCAGGGCACCCCAAGAATCACCCCATGTGCCTGAGAGCATCATCCACAGGCTTCTTGCACCAGAGCAGAGTGGGACAGTCACCCCCCTGGGAACGCTCTGCCTGATGCGCCCCAGGACAGGGTTGGCCCTCCCGGCTGCCAGGGCACACTGCCGGCTCATCCTCGGTTTGCCAGCAAGCAGGACCCCCAAGCAGGGCACGTCACCCCGGTCCCCGCCTGCAGAGCTCGGCAGGGGAGCTGCAGCAGGGCAGCTGGTGGGACAGGCACTTCTGGTGAGCTCGTGTCTGTCCTGCAAACTCAGCCTGTCTGAGGGTGTTTCATCCCACTCTGTCCTCAAGTGGTGACTTGGGGCTGTTCCTGCATCTCACCTTGAAGCAGGATCACACACAGCTTACAAAGCCAGAGCCCCAGTCCAAATATATTTACTATGTTGCTATTCCCTCCAAGGAAACCTTACACCCAAAATGATAGTAATAATTTGGATAATTCAAGTAGAACAGACAAAATGTGTGTGTGTGATGATACTAACAGCTTTAGATATATTTATTAGTCACACGTCAGTAGGACAAGTTCATGCAGTGCTGCTGTAGCAAGAACCACAATCTTCCCCCTTAGAGCGCTGCTTTGTAATGAACTGTGACCTGTACATCCAGCCTCATTATGTCTCTTTATTTTCATCACATTTATTTCTCACAAATAAGGCTGGTCTTTTGAAATTTCCCACTTCTTAAGTGGTGGTCCTGGTGTCACTGGTTTTTTCTCAGCTGCTGTCACTGCAGAGCCTGAACTGGGGTAGAGGAAGGAAGAGAGAAGAGGCTTTAATAACACTGTAAAAACCAGACTTGGATTTAATTTGCAGTACAGGTTTATTTACAGAATCATGGAATCATTTTGGCTGGAAAAGACCTTTTATATCATCAAGTCCAACCACTAACCCAGCCCTGCCAAGGCCACCCCTGCCCCACGTCCCTCAGCACCACATCTACAGGCTTTGAAACCCCTCCAGGGATGGGGACTCCCCCCCTGCCCTGGGCAGCCTGGGCCAGGGCCTGACAGCCCTTTTGGGGAATAAATTGTTCCTGTTATCTAATCTAAACCTCCCCTAGCACATCTTGAGGCCACTTCCTCTTGTCCTGTCACCTGTTCTTGGGAGAAGACACCAACACCACCACACACCCCACCCCAGCTCCATCCCCCTTTCAGGGAGCAGGAAGATCTCCCCCAGCCTTCTTTTCTCCAGGCTGAATATCCCCAGTTCCCTCAACTGCTCCTTCTAAGACTTCTGCTCCAGACCCTTCCCCAGCTTTGCTGCCCTTCTCTAGGTGCACTCCAGCTAGAGGGGCTTGTTAGCCAACTACCAGCCACCTCCCTTGTTCAAGAGGAGATACAAGAATTAATTCAGCATTCTTCTACCAACCTGTGAAATCCAATGCTGCCTGCTGGGGGAGTTCTGTATTTCTGACCTAAGTCAAAGGGGCTTAAACCCAAGGCACCAGCTCAGACCTACCTGCCAGCCTGAGCCCCCGCAGGCAGGGTTTTCTGCCCCGCCACCACCACGATGGGCGGGAGCGACTCTCGCCTCCCATCCCGGCTGCAATAATAGTTATCGGCGAACTTGTGGCTGGGGCCCACCGGGAGCCGAGGGGGCGGCTGGCTTCTGCACAGAGAGCAGTCCCAGCAACGTCAGCGGAGACCGGCAACACCCAGACCCGCGTCCCAACCCTCCACCAGGTACCTCTTGGAGATCTCGTCGTAGCGCAGCGCCAGCTTGGCCTGGAGGTCCCGCTGCAAGGCAAGGTGAGAGGCTCAGGCGCTGCCCGGCCCCGCGGGGGTGGGCAGGGCCCGGCAGCCCTGGCGGTGCTGGAAGAGCAGATTCACAGAATCCCAGGGGTTGGACGGGACCTGGAAAGCTCACCCAGCCCAACCCCCCTGCCAGAGCAGGGTCACCCAGAGCACATCACACAGGAACGTGTCCAGGGAGGTTTGAATGTCTCCAGAGAAGGAGACTCCACAGCCTCTCTGGGCAGACTGTCCCAGGCTCTGTCACTCTAACGGTAGAAGTTTTTTCTTATGTTTACATGGAACCTCCTATGTTCCAGTTTGCACCCACTGCCCCTTGTCCTGTCACTGCACAAAGCCTGGCTGCGTCCTGACACTGCCCTGAACATGTTTGTAAACATGGATGAGGTCACCCCTCAGCCTCCTCTTCTCCAAGCTCCCTCAGCCTTTCCTCAGCAGGGAGATGTTCCCCTCCCTCCATCATCTCTGTGGCTCTGCCCCGGGCTCTTCCCAGCAGTTCCCTGTCCTCCTGGAACTGAGGGGCCCAGAACTGGACACAACATTCCAGATGCGGCCTCACCAAGGCAGAACAGAGGGGCAGGAGAACCTCCCCTGACCTACTAACCACCCCCTTTCTAACCCACCCCAGATGCCCTTGGCCTTCTCGGCCACCAGGGCACATTGCTGGTCATGCTCACCCTCCTGCCCCCCAGGGCCCTTCCTCCTGCCCTGCTCTCCAGCAGCTCAGCCCC